CTTCAACAAAGTGAAAGACAAGCTGAAGAATGGAAAAAAAGTGTTCGAGAACTATCCATGCAACAAGGGGTTAAAAACCAGAAGTCTAAGGAACTCAAAGAATTCAGCAGTGAAAAAACAATAATCCAATTAAACAATTGGCAAAAAGTCCAACAGGCAAATCCAATAGGCAAAAAGTCTGAATAGGCATTTCTCAGCAGGAGACTTAGAAATGGCCAAAAAGTATGTGAACAAATACTCAACAGATCATCAGAGCAATGCAAATTGAAACCACAATGAGCTATCGTCTTGCCTCAGTTAAAATGGCTTTTATAAAAGAGACAAAAATAATGTATACTGGAGATGGTGCAGAGAAAGTGCACAGCCACTGTGAAGGACAGCATGGAGAGTCTCAAAAATCTAAAAATAGAATTGCCATATGGTTCAGCAATCCAGGGCTCATTATATATCCAAAAGAAAGCAAATCAGTATATCGAAGAGATATCTGCACTCCCTTGTTTATTGCAATAGCCAAGATATGGCATCAAGCGAAGTATCTATCAATGAGTGAACAGATAACAAAATATGGTGCATAGATGCAACGGACTGTTATTCAGCCATGCAAAGAAGGAAATTTCATTTTCAGACGTGGATGGAGCTGGAGGAGTTCATGTTAAGTGAAATAAGCCAGGCACAGAAAGAAAAAAATATTGCATGTTCTCACGCACGTATGTAGGAGATTAAGAAAAGTGAATCTCATGGAGACAGAGAGTTGACTGGTGGTTACCGGAGGCCAGGAAGGGAAAAGGTTGGGGAGGGGATGAAGAGAGGTTGGGTAACGGCTACAAATACAAACAGAAGGAATAAGATCTACTGTTTGAAGGACAATAGGGTGAGTGTGAGCAATAATGTGTAGTTTGAACTAGCTAGAAGAGAGGGATGGAGTGCTCCCAACATAAAGGAAAGTTCAGTGTTAAAGGTGGTGATCGTCCCTGATTTGGTCATTACACATTATATGCATGTATCAGAATACCACATACTCCCAAAATATGTACAACTATTTAAATAACAATACCAAAACAATAATAATGAGTCAATACTATTCTAGTATTAACTACTCTTCTAAATAGATACTATAGAAAGTACCTGAAATATAATTCGGTCTTAAGAAGCTTGGATGAAAACGGTCTCTTTATTTCATATGACCTGTGATACACATGGATATATATAGTTAAATGTCATTATTTAATGACAATCTGTTGATTAATATTTTATTCTTTTTTTTTGGAGACAGAGTCTCACTTTGTCACCCTCAGTAGAGTGCCATGGCATCATAGCTCACAGCAACCTCAAACTCTGGGGCTCAGGCAATTCTCTAGAGACGGGGGTCTCACTCTTGCTCAGGCTGGTCTCAAACTCCTGAGCTCAAGCAGTCCACCTGCCTTGGCCTCCCAGAGTGCTAGGATTACAGGTGTGAGCCCCTGTGCTCATCAACTAATACTTTATTCTATGTGTGATTCAGTAAAACTGGCAGGCACTTATTTGATCAGAAATGTAACTTTATATTTTACAAATATGTTTGAACTCTAGAAATCTGAGCTCATCCAGCTCATTAGCTGATATCTCTGAGTAAGTTGTAAAGCTCAACTTAAATAAAAACTAAAACAACAAATTTAAATTAAAAAATAAACACATTTCTTAAACTATTTCCTAAAATACATAGATATATTAGAAAACTCAAAAATAATATTTATTAGGATCTTAGTGTGTGGCAAAGCAATTTCACAAACACATAGTTTATTATTTTCTGATTTAGATATTAGATCATGGTCATTATTCTTTTCTGATTTAGATATTAGATCATGGTCATAGTCCACAATGCAAAAATGATAGGTAGCCAATTTTTAACATAGGTATTTTTTCACTGTATCATAAATCTTCCTGATAAACAAAGAATATTGAAATATATATCACATATGCTATTAGAGAACATTAATAAAATTTAAGCCAAGGAGGTCAGGTCAGGTAGTTCATTATGCCTGTAATCCTAGCACTCTGGGAGGCCAAAGCAGTTGGATTGCTTAAGCTCAGGAGTTCCGGAATAGCCATAGCAAGAGAAAGACCCCATCTGTACTTAAAAAAAAATTACCTTGGTGTTGATGGTGTACATCAGTAGTCCCAGCTACTTGGGAGGTTGAGGCAAGCAGATTGCTTGAGCTCAAGAGTTTGAAGTTGCTGTGAGCTGTGACACCAGGACAGTCTACCCAGGGGGACAGAGTGAGAAGCTGTCTCAAAAACAAATGAATAGATAAATCGAGCTAAAGAACAAGTCAAATTCAGAATTATTGGAGAGAGTCAAAGGAGATAAAGTTGATAATTCCATCTATCTTTCTTTCCTTTGTAAGGAGTTTCAGAAAAAAAATTTTTTTATTCATTTCAACATTGGGAAATGCAGTTTCTCTTTCTTTTCGTGATTGTATTTGATGTTAATTTGGAGAAATCTATTTTGTAGTAGGTGATAATTCTACTTTTTAGATCCAGATATTTAGTTTGACCAGCTTCTTTTAGTAGTATTTTACTTTTTAAGTGCTTGAAATATTTGTTAGAAAAAAAACCCCTGAAATTGTTTACCATTTTACCAGCCTTCCTTGAGCCTAACTTTTGACTGTCTATCACTTTACAATCATATCTGTTTATCATTTGGTTCACGCCATAACTTTTTGAGATTGGCAGCAAGATGTAGTCTCTAAATTCTATTTTAGCAATCTTGATAGGACAGGCAGAACTTATTTGATTCGCTCCAGGGAACCAAGTTGGTAAGTAGGGGAGCGTTGGGATTTTAGACCAGATCTTCTGGTTCTTAGCTGGTCTTGTTATTCACAGGTATCAACTCTTCATTACCAGAATCGAAGTCATTTATTTATATCATAATGGAAGACCCTACATGACAATTCTTCTTTTTTATTTTAAAATGAAACTGATGTGGTTGGAAACGTGACAACTTTGGCACGACAGAGAGATGGGGAGAAGCATGTGAACTGGAAAACCTTCCATGTTCCTCTGACTTTCAGATTCTCTTTTCCAAAAGTGATTTCCTGTAGGCATTTGCACCTTGACAGGGCTATTTTTACTCAGGGCGAGTACTAACACTGGGATGGCGCTTTACTATTTATTGAGCTCCTTCTTTTCTGTGGTCTCCTTTAATGCTCTTGCCAGTCTTGAGTAGGAGGCATTATTATTACAGCATCTTGTAAGTTAAAGAAAAAGAAAATGAGGCTGTGTACAGTCATGTGTCACTTAATGACGGGGCCACAGTCTGAGAAATGTGTTGTCAGGCAGTTTTGTCATTGTGAACATCAAGGAGTACACTCAGCCAGGCCTGGATGACAGAGCCCACCGTACACCTTAGCTATCCAGCCCAGACTCTTCCTCCTGGGCTACAGACCCGCAGAGCACGGCCCTGTGCTGAACACAGCAGGCAGTGGTAACACATGGCATGTAGGTGTATTTGTGTCTAAACATATCCAAACACAGACAAGGTGCAGTAAATACACGGATCATCTTTTGGGACCACCGTGAATGACTGTAATGGCTTCTTAGGCACAGCCTCAGATCCTGTTAAGTAACACCTGTATTTAAACAGAAGTTTTAATATAAGATTTATTTCTGAATTTCTCAGAAATCTTGTCATTAGAACATTTAGGACTCCTGGGAACTTTCCAAATATTTGCACAACATAGTCTCGGTTCTTTCTCATAAATTTATACATTTAGCAACTGAGTCCAGTGTTGTGAGTTCTGGGATTTACTCTGATTTTATGTGGTATCCTGTCTGTCTTCTTGTGAGCTATATGAGTCCTGTCCTTGCTTCTGTTCAAACTTATTCTAACTTGACTCATTTGTTACTTGGGTTTAGAGTCTGATTTTATGAACTATTTTAGTTTAGATCTTTCTCTTACACTCACTCTCTTCACTGTTGATTTGCTGTATATAAGAAACAACTTTATTACATATTGTAATTATAAATGTATGTCTACATTTACGTGTCTGTCGAACGTTTCAGTGAGTGAGTTAATAGAATTTTCTTTTTCAATGCATCCAAATGCAAATAAAGCTTTTATTTAGAATTACTGTGTTTGATTGTTCTACACAAAGTTGAATATAATGTATACTCATAATTAACAATTAATTCCTTCTGAGGTTGAGGATCTTGACTCTGAAAATATGGTGGGGACTGAGTACAAAATCCCGTGGGGCGGATACGTGGAGTACGTGTTAAAATTACATCAATAGTAGAACTTGTCTCTTCAATGAATTTCCTCCTTGAAATCATTTCTTAGACTTAGAGGAAGGATAAAAGAATATGAAAAAGTGAACAAGACTCAGTCAAAGTATGTTGTGTGTCATCGACAGAAAATGATTCAACTTTTTAAAAAAATTCTGAGCTTGTACAACAGCTGGCTTGTCAGGGTCCCTTCCATATTCTCTTTCTCTTTTATATTCAGCTTTAATCTCTTATCCCAGTTCTCTACAGGAGCGATGTATAAACCCCCTACATGTGTCTTGGCTATTATGATAGCCTCTTCCCCCTTTCTTTCTTTTTTAAATAGGCAGTTTGCTTGTAACTTTTCTTTTAAGCTAACTCTCAGATGTGAGCTATTTGGAAAGACCTCTTTTTTATTTTAAGAATGAGAGATGAATTCCTTTTATTTATTTTACTGAAGTCATTCTGTTAATGCGATAGGGTAAATTTCGTCCAAATGAATTGTATGAAGTGGTTTCATTGGTGAGTTAATACTCTGTCTAGAGGGGTTAGAGGAAGTAGGTTTCCAGGTAAGTAAGATAGCCAAATACTGAGCGGGCGAACTCTTAAACCCAGTTTTCTGTTTTGGTATCTTGAATGCTCACTCTCCCTTGCTGACCCGCATCCCGTCTTCTTACATAATTGTCTATGGAATAAAACGTGTCGTTAAGCCTATTTTCTTTTCTGTTGTATTCTTTTTCTTTTTCTTTCCTTCTCAGGGACATAGTTCTCAAGCTACTTCAATATGAGGCGTCCACAAACGTAGCAGACAACAAAGGTTATTTTCCTATTCATCTGGCCGCCTGGAAAGGAGATGTGGAAATCGTGAAGATTCTCATTCACCATGGACCTTCACATTCCAGAGTCAACGAACAGGTGCACTTGTCAAATGTTTGCTCACGCTGTCCTTTTCCTAGAGTCGTGCAACGGCAAAGCCATGTTGCAGATTTGATTACTCTTATCTTTACCTTGCCAAAGACCTTTCCACTGCTGAATTTTCCTCCAGAAGAAATTTGAAAAATGCTTTGGCATTTGGATGGGCACGAGCACGAAGTCGGGCATTTGTAAGGATATTTTCTTCGGGGGCAAATCCCACATGGTGGAAGTCGTTGTAATATTTCTGCCTGTCTTATGTAGTCATCCATTTTCTAGCTGTTGAATATTTAAAGACAGAACACGATTTGCATTTGTAATGAGAATTGGAGTGTTTCTTAATATAATTTTAAATGCTAAAGTGATGATAGTTATTGTTTGCCGAGTGCTTTACCATTTCATAGCTAAGTACCCTATTGTGAATCAAAATGCAAAATACAGCGTATCCAGTTGCTAGTGACAATTAACCATTTTCTATACAGCTATACACACACCTCCCTCCAAAGTAAGTTGAGTAAACATAGCAGCGATGCCGACAGATAAAGTATTTGTGAGCACACAATATCTGTATTACACATAACAGACCTATTTAGGAAGGAATGCCATTCTCAATATTCTAAACAGATAAGAGCACCGATTCTAGAAGGTAAAATATGGTCCCCTAATACAGCAGGATAACAAAGATCTTGAGCTCTGCATGCCCCCTACCGTTCCCATTTTGTAAAACTGTATTTGCAAACCAGCGTGCAGTCCAGCAGTTGAATTACAACCATGACATTAAGCTGCAGGCTGGCGGTTGTCCAATATCAATGCAAGTCGGTGACTCCAGGGCAAACACGTCTCATAACGTGCAATTAGCACATTGTTCAAATGGATACAGTCTCTGCAGCCTTTCGTCTGAAATGCAGATTGCAAAACAAAAAGTAAGAACCCTTTCACTGGCAGAAAAAGAAAAATACGTTTTTTTCCCCCACCATGAAAATGAAATTGGTGAAAGGTCTAATCAGAAAAAAACATGTTGGAAAAAGTATCTTTTAAAAATTTAGCACAATAAATATTCCTAGGTTTATAGGTTACAGAAATGCAGAATTTCTAAAACAGAGAATAAATCTATTCTTGTAAAAAGCGACAGATACGGTTATCTTTATCATCGTATCATAGTAAAAGGAAATTTATGGGACCACTCTTCCTCTGAAAACCAGAAGTTAGATCTTTTATGGGGTGGGCCATCTGGTGGTTATTCTTAAAATTGTCTGAAAGCTGCACAGCGAGCCTGAAATGACAGAATGGAAAAATAATGCAAGGTTAAACAAGAGGATGTTAGTTTTTATGAATAAGATATTTTAAATGACGTGAAAATAAGAAAAAAACACGTAGTATTTATGTTTGAAAGCTGAAATTTTTAAATGACTTGTAAGTGTAGTGGTGCGTTTTAAAGAAATACTTGTTGGGGGTAGTATCGAACACATTGATTAAATTATAAAATGTCTTTTTAAGGAAACTGGAAGTCCAAGTCCATCTATTTCTTTGTGTTGTGGTTTTTAATGGCAACAAGTTAAAAGTATCTTATGACTTTCAATACCATACTTTCAGTATCCTGGGTTTTTTTTTCTTTGTTACCTATCTCTTTAGTGCTGACATGGTTTGTCCCTTCTAAGCCATTTCTTTTAAAAGTTTTGATGTGGGAATTTTATTTGTATAAGAAACTTAATTTTTGCCTACCTGCCCTCCTCCTTCCCTCCCTCCCTCCTTCCCTCCTATTTCATAGATGAGAGAGCCAGCTCACTAAAGCAAACAAACAAACAAAAAACTTGTCTAAGGTCACCTGTTACTGAGTGACTGACATGGACACAGACTTGGATCAGGCCTTTCTGATGCTACGCCACGGTGGCACATGGACATTGCTATCCTGCGTCCTCCCGCTTAATAGATACTTTCCTGTGTAGCAGGCATTGCACATAGTACTTCATCTGTGCTATCTTACTAAGTCCTATAGCAGCCCGATGAGGTGGATATGAATTCTTTCTCCTACTTTATCTGTGGGGATACACCCTAGAGAGATTGAGTAACTTGACCATAATCTGTGCGTATCACAGCGTGCGTGAGGTTGAACTTGTACGTGTGATGTTGAACTTGGACGTCACAGTCAAAGCTTCATTCTGATTTCTGTAAGTATCTTGGGTTTCTAATGCAGGTTTCTTCCAAACTAATTCTACTTTATATTTTAATATTTCAAGTTTACAAAGCCTTTTCATACGTCTTTCTCTTTGGGTTTATAAACTACTCTGTAAGATGTATAGGGAAGGTCATGTTCTCATCTTAACAGATAATCTTGGAGAGATCAAGTAATTTGCTATTGTGAACAAGCAGCATGTTAGCACTCTACCCTGGAACCTGTTGGCCATTCTATGCTGCCCTAGAATTAGCATTTAATTGAGGGTGACAATAATTTTGGAAAACAAAGTATACCCTGATTACGGGGTTTATAATCGCCACGTCCTTCCTATCTTTTATCAACTGATTCATTATTTCCTTTATTCTGATGTTATGTATGTTTTAAATTTCTGTTTCTCTGTATATTTATCCCCCCACTTTGTGCACTCTTCCTCTTTTTTTCTTTGTTTTAATATCCGCGCAAAACCCAGAGGCGCCTTATCTCGAATGTACATTACCTTCACCATTCATCAGAACTCAAACCCCGCTCTCGTTAGCTGTTTTACCTTGAATCAAGATCTTTTGGTTCATAGCTTCTGTCAGCCTGTTTTCTTTTGTCCATTCTCTTGGAAGTGACCTAATTTTTTTTTTTTTTTTAAGAAAACACCCATTAGGTAAAAACAAGGAATTCAGAATCTTTTAAGAATGTTCTGTGTAGCCATGAATAGCAAATATTAATCAGGACTTCATCACAGCCTGTTCATTTCAAATGAGATGTTTCATGTTTTTTTTAGAGCACTCGTGAGTGTGGGCACAAGTAGATGACCGTGGCTTTGTAAAGGTTCCACTGTTGTGGTCTCCACTGAGGTGATAGTCCCAGTATGTGTTGATCAGGGATAAAATCTCTGACTATTTTGTCTGGAGCCAGTCTTGAAATAATTTCTCTTGAGATCTCAGCAGTGCTAATTGGTGTTATTAGAAACATTTTCAGGTTTGTCCTCATAATTTCCTAGGTGAAAGGTTCTGGAAAAGTGGAGAGGCCTTTAAAGAATCATGATTTCATAAGTGGGCTTTCTCTTTTCTCAAAGAAGTGTTGCGTTTTGAAAAATGAGATTGAATCTTTTTCACCCGAAGGGGAATTTGGGCTGGTTAGGAGACACTTCTATACTGTGTTTTCATGGCATAAAGTAATAAGACTGGCTTTTCATCAGGCTTCTGAAACTTAGCCAGATAAGAAAGTTAAGGAGTCTAAAGCTCTATGGAGTCAGTCTTTTTGAAGAAGCAATAGTAACATACTCGAGCCAAGTATGAGAAATGATGGGAGTGCACAGGTGAGGGGAGAAACAATACTCACAGCTGGGTTCCCATCTGCCAGATCTTAAATTCTCTTGACTGTCTTCAAAGAGTGGGTTCCCCCTTTGGCTTTGACCTTCAAATGCCCTTCTTAATACATATTTGAAAAATAAAAATCATGAGAATCCTCTCCTAGTGATATTTTCCCCCTTGTCACTCTTCTTTTTCAAGTTTCTGAGTCTTCCCTCTAAACCCTCGACTTACCCGCATTCTTCTGTTGTCCAGAGTAAGTTCAAGTTACTTTCTGGACCATTACGATTTGTCTGTGTTTCAGCTCACCTTGTCCTTGAGTTTGGGTCAGAACAGCTGTCTAACCATCGACTTCCCGTTCTGACCCAGTAGGTATTTTTCTGAGCAGAATCTCTAGACATTCTGCTTTGGGATCACGAATATCCAGCTCCTCTTCATTGACAGTATAGCCACACATAGAAGGCAGCATGGTACAGTGGAAACAGCCTGGGTTCGGATTTGGACAGGTGTATGGGTTGCAAAAGATCCTGACTCTGACTAGGGACAGAATTTGTATTTTAGTTTCCTTGTCTATGAAGTGGAAATTATAATATCAATCTCATTGGATTGTTTTAAGAGTTAAATGTGAATGTGTGTGTGTGTATATTTGGCAACAATTAGATGGAACTGGAGACCATTATCCTAAGCAAAGTATCTACAGAATGGAAAAACAAACACCACAAGGACTCACTAGTAGATTAGAACCAACCGATGAGCACACCCGTTCACAGAGGTAAAACTCAGTGGAAATCAAGCAGGTAGGAGAGTGGAGAGGCGGATGGTGCACTGAACACTGTTTCTGTCACGGGCACCCTTACAGCCCTGACTCAAGCATTACAAAAACGATCCATGTAACTGCAAATACTTGTACCCCCTAGTATTTTGAAATAAAAAAAAAAAAAAGATGACGATTACCAGAAATGGTAACTACAAAAAGTTTCAGGAACTTAGGAAATGGAAGTAGTAATAGTTGCTCTTGTGAAAGGTGAGGTGGGTGATGGTTAAGAGCACCGACTTTGGGTCTAGGCTGCTCAGGTTCAGATCCTGGCTCCACCACTAACTGGCTGTATAATCAAAGGGCAGTTATTAAACTAGTCAGTGCCTCAGTTTCCTCATCTGTAGAATGGGGATTAATGATACTAACGGTATCTCTTTCATAATGAGAATCACAAGAGTAAAGATAGGAACTATAACTGTGTCGGGTACATAATGTTAGCTATGATGATGGCACCAGCTCTTTCTCTTTCTCTCCAGAACCCTCATTTAGGATTATTGCAGTTGCTAAATTTTCTTGTTCACATTTCTCTTGACTGACCCTTTCACCTCCTGACATCCTCAAACCCCACCTACCTATACTGTCTGCCCAGATGTTCTGAATGGCCCATCTGCCTTGCAACAGGGTTCGATTTTCTATATCTTAACAAGTTTTTCTAGGAAAATCTCTGATTTTCAACTGAAACACTTAAAATCTGCACATGTACTCCTATGATAGTAGGTCTGTCTCTTAATCCATAATTACATTTCAAAAAGATAGTATTTTATCTTGAGGCCAGAATGTCTCCGTTCTCTTTGCAAAAGAAGCAATAATTTTTACTTGCATGGGAAATAAAATGAAACTTAATCTGAGAAACCTATCTATAAGTCTTTCACTATCAAGAATTTACCACCTCAGCTATCTTTCGGAAAGCCAGTCTATTAAAAGTAATTGTCACTAATGTCTCTCATTAACAAATGTCACAGGGATGAGGAGATGTACAGGACCTGCCCATCTGGGCCCAGCAGGGCCAGTGAAGAAACGGCTGAAATCACTTATCATTCTTAGAAGTTGGAACATTTGATGCAAGGAAAAGTGTGATTTTTTTTCCCTCTCAAGTGATAAAAAAACAAATGATGATGTTTTTGATGTAATGCACGATAGATACTTTTGATTCAATATAAAATCCAATGAGTCATACTTACTAAAATAGATCCATCTTAAACTGCTATTTCCACAGCATCTCAAATTACTGTTTAGAGATGTGGGTCGCTAATTGAATGTCTGAAAACATGCCTTTTTAAATTAAAAAAAAAAATCTTTGTCTTAAACAGAACAACGAAAACGAAACTGCCCTCCACTGCGCGGCTCAGTACGGACACGCCGAAGTCGTCGCTGTTCTTCTGGAAGAGCTCACCGACCCTACGATTCGAAATAGTAAGCTCGAAACACCTTTGGACCTGGCGGCTCTCTACGGGCGGCTCCGAGTGGTCAAGATGATCATCAGCGCCCACCCCAACTTAATGAGCTGCAACACTCGGAAGCACACGCCTCTCCACCTTGCCGCCCGCAATGGCCACAGGGCAGTGGTGCAGGTGCTGCTGGAGGCCGGGATGGATGTCAGCTGTCAGGTGAGTCTCTTTTCCCTCTGCTTTGAAGGCCATGCGGCTCTAGCTTTGCTGTGCGATACCCATGTGCAAACTTGTCTATATAAATCTTTGAATCAACTGGTCCACGGGTATTTTCACAACTACAACCGTTACTGTTTATTTTTACTTTTTAGTTATTTTTTCACGTCAGGTCAGAACTTTATCGCCTCGCTCTGCCACTGAGAGGTCGAAGAAGGGAGAGAAACACGGTAGCGCCCATAAAATAGAGTCCGTGAAATGCCAAATCCAGGCAAAACCTCCAATTTGGAACTTGGAGAAAAGGGCAAGAGTCTGTATTAGGACATCTGATTTGAAGATCTTTAATAAAATATATACAGGGTGGCCAACAAGGTCACGTGCAGTTTGAACAGTTACAACTGTTTAATTTGTTATTTAGTAGTTGTAACTATTTAAATTGCACGTGACCTTGATGGCCACCCTGTATTAAGAGAAAGCTAACATATAATGACTAACTTTAAGGTTTTCTAAAACATGGGCTGTTGGCGTATATGTAGAGCTATAAGGCATAATCTCTAACCTCATTCTAATTTGAGGAATAGACAGGACAAATTATTAACAGGTGGCAGTTTTGTGGTATCAATGGTAATGTTCCCTTTCTCCCAGGATCTAGTGTACAGCCTGACGTCCATTAGGAACTCAAAGTTTCATGACCATGTGAATGAGACAAACTTCACTCTAACGTTTTTGGGTAGGTGCTTTGTGGTCAGTGCAGCCACACATTTAGAATTCAGTTTTCACGGCTGTCCTCTGGGATTGAGAGCTATTACGTCCTGTTAAGGACATAACAGGAGGAATCAGATTCTAAGGCTTCAGAAATTTGCCTAAGGACAGACAGCTGATAAGACTGGAATCCTAGTATGAATTTAGACTTACTGATTAAAGTCCAGGTCTCCTTCCAATAAAACCTACTGTCTCTACATCACTAATGAAGGAATGATCACTGTGCCTCAGGGCAACCAGAAAAAATATTATTCAAGAGATGTGACTTGAGCTGATCTTCGGGGAAGAGTAGCTTTTGGAGGAAGAATTGGAGAGTTTTTGTTTCCTCCACAAAAGAAAAGGCAAACTCCTTTTATTATGTCTTAAGTTAGCCCCAACTCTGGGGCTAGCTTTTATTTCTTTATTCTTTCATTCATTCATCCACGTACTCACCGATCTACTTACCATTTTCTCCTCTTATGGTTGTTTCTTGGCTCCTGAGTCCGTAGCAGCGTTCTTTCTCTTCCCAAGACCCTTTTGGTTCCTGTCAGATTGTGAGCTTCTCTGCTTCTTGCTGTACCAAAAACGATTGCAAAACCCAGTAACTGCTTATTTCCCTCATATGTCTGGGATTGTTGAATTCATCTAAGCTCATCTGGGTGGTTCTTCTAGTTTTGGCTGGGCTCTGCCATGCGCGTGGGGTCAGCTCCCAGTCAGTTAGGTTTCTGCTTCAGAGGCTGGCTAGACATTGTCTGGAGTGTTGGGTGAGACAGCCACGTGTCTGTCATGACTCAGCAGGTCAGCCTGGGCTCATTCCCATGGCGTGTATGGTTCTGAGAGAAAAGAGAAATACGCAAAGCTGCTTGAGGTATAGACTTGGGACAAACGCACCATCACTTCTGCCATGTTGGATTAGCCAAAGCAAGTCACAAAGATGGCTCGAATTCAAGGCCTGAGAATATAAACTCCACCTCTGGATTGGAAGCAGGTGTGAATTGCAACAGGGGTATGAATACCTGGAGGGAATACATGTGGCCAATTCTGCAAACTAATCTATACACTCCAGGTAAAATTAGTGCTCAGCTGGGAGGTTATTTTTCCTGGGAATTGTTCAGAGGTTGACCCCTCCAGTCTTTTCTTTACTAAATTAAACAAACAAAAAAAAACTTAGACCTTCCAATCTCAGGTTTAAGGCTGGCACCCTGAATCTTCTTCAGAGTTTTGCCTCTATTATTTAGTTCTTTAGATATTTCTAATAACTTTTCTCAATTTCTTTCTTACGCATTCAACTTTGGCAGCCTTGCAAATAAATACAGTAAGGGAAAAAAGTTTTCCCATTAAAGGGTATTGAAACATTGGATAGATATGTATTTACTATTACAGGTGACTGCTATTATAGGTGACTCACACAGTTACTTTCCTAAAGGTTGTTTAATGGTAAACTAGACTCTTATCTGAATGTTGAATTTCTGTAATCTTTATTGCTTTGATAACACTTCAGGAGTACATGTATTCTAAACTCGATTGTACAGACTACTTTATACTCAAGGACTTTCTCTGTGACTGAGGTCACTAAGCCTCTTGGTGGTCATGGTCAAGATCTTTTCATGTTTTGCACTAGATTTTGACCATGACCCGAAGGGAAAGAGTTTAGAGATACAGTTTTATATGCATATATAGCATAGCTTTTTTTTTTTTTCTCGTGCAGAATACTGTATTTGGTGCTTTGGGAAAATCAAAAATAAAAAAAAAAGATCTCTGCAGGAAATTTAGTGGAGGAAACAAAATTTACAAGAATGACTCTTGTACATGAACGATAACAAACTCTAAAACAAAGAGCTATGCAGTTATAGTTGAGGAAGATAAAGATTTTTAAGAGGGAGAATGTGGGAAGATACTGAGGAAAGTGACTTTTGAAGAGGTTCTTGAAAGTGCAACGGGACTATGAATTTGGAGTGTAATTTAGCTTCCATACGTACGTTATTTAGCTAAAGAATGTTTTAAAGTATTGTGTTTGAATGCTTTTAGATGGAACATGTACTTTCTGAAGTTCCAGTCCCATCCTACTGTGTCTTATATTCTGGCCAGCATCATTCCTTTAGATTTGCTACTGAGAACATTGGGGTTGGTTGCTCCTATGTTAGAGGAAAGAGGCACAGTGTGTTCAGATCACTGTGAACAGCTGCTCAGAAGCATCAGGGCTGGTACCTGAGTAGGTGGGGCAACCTTTCATTTTGCTATCTATCCTCTTTTATTGATACCCCGTCTACAAAGAGTTCACGAAGAGACCACTGACCTCGTTGGTCTCATTGGAACACACTATGTCCTGCCTGGAGGCCTTTGGTTTATTAACCACATAATTTCCTCCCCTGCTTTCTTCAGATGTCTGCTCAAATATCACCTTCACAGGGAGGGCTTTCTTGACCTCTCTCACTCATCGCCCCAGCAATTCCCTTTCTTTCCCTTTTAAACGATACCTGGCTTCTCTGTAAAGGAACCCCGTCCCTCCCAGCCTTCCCAGGCCAGGCTGTATGCTTCATGAACAAGAAAATTTCTCTCCTACCCTCAGGAAGTTGGTAGACTACCAGGGATGACAGAAAATAAATACCTAGACACACATAAAAATGGAAAATTTCAGTCATGTGATAAAGGAAAGAAATTGGCTGCTGCAGTGGAGAGTGAAGAGTTAGAGGCGGTTTCTGTGCGGGGCTGGCCTCAGAGAAGAGAGAGAGGAACCGTGCAATAGAAGAGTTTGCAAGAAAGAGAATATAGGGAGAGGGGAGAGGCTGGATCAAGAATATTTAGTAGTTTATGGAAAAGGTGGTCTGTAAAGAAGAAGTTACAATAGAAAGCCCAAACAGCACGGTTTCATATAATCAATTCATCCATTCACCATGTATTTATTGAGTGCCTGCTGTGTGCCAGAGGATACAGCAGTAACAAAATTAGATAAAAGTTGCGCATGGGAGAGGGAGGATGGCTCTTCTTCAAGTGTGGAGTAAAGAAAAGTCAGATATGGGCTAGAAGCTTGAAGTGATACAGGTTCACGGGAAGTTTCTTTCAGTGTTTTTTCTAGATAGTGGAAATGTGTTTATGTTTATGGAGAAATATTGTGTTGAAGATGTAAGAGGTAAAGATACCTGATGAGCAAAATTCAAGCAGCAGCAGAAAGTGATAAAGAACACAAGTGGAAAATTATCTTTTTTGTTTGTTTTGAGATGGAGTCTCACTTGGTCACTCTTGGTAGAATGCCCTGGTGTCATATCTCACAGCAACCTCTGACTCCTGGGTTCAAGTGATCCTCTTGCCTCAACCTCCTGAGTAGCTGGGATTCCGAGTGCCTACCGCAATACCCGACTAATTTTTATTTTTCTATTTTTAGTAGGGACGGGGTCTTGCTTTTACCCAGGCTGGTCTCCAACTCCTGAGTTCATGCAATCCACCCACTCAGCCCCCCAAATGCTGGGATTATAGGAATGAGCCGCTGCACCCACCCTGAAAATCAGGTTTAACAAGGAGAAAGGGTGCTTCTTTTGAGACAGAAGCAAAGGGAAAGAGGATGGGAAAAGATAGAGGCTTAAAATCCTTACTTAAGTAGGAGAAGTCTCTTTTCGAATGGGAGGAATGTTATTTCTGAATTATTTGAAAACACATTGTATCTTTTTGTGCCACTCCCCCCCCCCCCCCCCCTTAAACCTTCTCAAAACCTTCAGCTGTTTTTCACGTGATGTTTTTCTAGGTTCTTTCCTGTTTTGGACCCTCTTCTCTGGACACTTTCCGATCTGTCAGTGGTACTGTAAAGTTTAAATACCCACAGCTGAACACACTGCAGGCTACAGAGGAACCACTGCCCCCCAACTTGTCCAGACGCCTATGCTTGTTGACAAAGGCCAGGATGATATCTTTTAAGTTCTTTTTATTTATTACAAGAGATGCCCATGTGGCTAATTGGTACAGCCAGACCGCCTGGGGATTTTGCTCCTGAGTTTAATGCTGTTCTATTCGTCTTTTCTTCGTTTACCTGCCTCTAGGTTGTCTTTGTTCACTGATTTGTTACTTGTTATATTGGTTATGGGTCTTGACGCTCAGAGTTTTATGCTACACGGTGCTGTTTTCTCTGCTGTCATCACCACAATCGTACTTTCTATCTTGTCATCCTTATTCTCTTTTACTCAAGAACGGGTCTTCCTTTATCTGGCCATTGTCTTCTGCAGGCTCCAGGAAGCTCATGCTGACAGTGTTAAATTTAGAAGGGGCACAGG